TAATTTTAATTTTAGCCCCATCCTGTCACTTTTCGAGATGGGGATATGAAATTAAATTTATGTATAACTACAAATTAAAATTTGCTATTCAATTCAATTAAGTTATTATTGTTGTAACAAGCAGAAATAACTATCCATCGGTAAATCTGGCTCCTAGCTTTAATAAAGCTACCGGTGCAGATGTCATAACTGGACGATAAAACAATCATAAAGTTAAAAGGGGATTGAATCATCCATTTTAAAAAATTTATACGAATACCAACGATATGATTCATTAAGATCCCAATCCTATGTTTATTTATAAGCCAGCAAAAACCTATCTCCTGTCAAATCCCTCCGAACTGGAGTGACAAAAGTACTGGTCAAAAAATGAAAACCCGGCAAAGTCATCGACCAACTCGCGGAATTCCGCGTATTCCACGTAAATCGTTCCAAGATATACTTCCACCAAGCGCGACAAAAGGTAGTCTGAAAAAATAAACTTGCATGAAATCTTCGACTTAAAAAGAATAGAAGGGAGCATTTGTCTGCAATCGCGTGCGTCCGATTACACCCTCCAGCGCATGTAATAAGAACCCCGGCATGGCTCCCGCGTTTTCGCAAAAGTATGAAACTTCAGCCCTCCCACGCACATGCATACTCATACACAGATACACCACATGAAGAAAGTCTAGAATTCCAAACAGACTACTGCTCTTCGAACACGAGCGGATTGGAATAGGTCAGAATGACTTGCGTGATTCCAGTCCGTTCGCCTTCTTCTTTTTTTTGTCTCCTTCTCTTTCTCTCTTTCTCCTATTCTTTCTGTGGATGTATGTACTTTCCTTCAAGCTCTTGCTTACTTTTTATTTCTTTCGCTTTTTCTATCATTTTTGTTATTTTGTCAATCAAGTAAACTACTATTTACGCTGTAACTTGACAATTTTCTCAATAATCCGTGAGAACGAGGCTCAATTCCGACACATGTAGAGATAGAAAAAGAAAAGTTTCGGGAATGCTTGTGAGCCTGGCAGACCCCATCAAACCGTTTCAAATCCTTGAGTCCGGAGGAGGCAGAAAAAAGAAAGTCTTTTTCGTAAATCAAAGGAAAAGCGCACTCTCTTACCTGCGTTTTTCTGCCCTCCTCCCCTACCTCTGGCTCAAGAGATTTTTATTACGTTCCACTAAAGCAGAGGAAGGAAGCAGCAGGAGAAGGAAAATAGGAGACGAGGAAGCAGGAGACTCGCAAGAATGGAATTGCTTTAATTAAAGAGTAAACTACTTCTTCTTCTCCTCTCACAAACGTCAAAATTTCCCCTGGCTTGACCATCTTGCCCCTTCTGCAGTTGCTGCTGCTGCTTCTTGGGATTCCTTTGAATTTCATGGCTGCCGACTTCTATACCTTTACCACAAATATAAAGTGGTAGGTACACGAGAGACTTCCTATTTCCTTTGTATATGAACAACATTTTTCCTACCTTGGATATTTTTTTTTTTTACTTTAGTCGTTTGCTGCGCCCTTGGTACGAAAAGCAGGATTCGCTACACAAGTGTTATTTTATCAAGCCCAAACATAGCACCTACGGTTATGGTGAACATGTACCAGAAATTACTATTCTCCTTTATCTCCCCTTTCTAAAAGATGAACGAGTCTTTTTTGAGAATGAAAGTATACACGCTTGAAATCATGGCGTACTATTGTAGAAAGAAATAAAAATTACGCACACAAAAATTAAAAATTGAAAAAACTAAAAATAGCTAAAGTATTCCCTCATGGAGCTGAATTTTTCCACTACGTGGTAACAAGCCTAAAGTATTACTAGTTGTGCGATAATATAGCTTTCTGTCACATTATAGCGCCAACTTCCCTTTGTGACTGACTACTTAAACACTCGCGAGTCATCGGCATACCGTCGACATGAGCTTTTTTCCATTCTGTCATATCTACATTTGTAGGTGTACGGTATAACGGATGAAGCAAAGGGTGATAGTGCGCCGAAAGAGATAAAGAGAAATTCAAGAGATACAAAGCAAGAAAAGAAGCCTTTGAAGCTCGTCGCAGCGCACGGATGGAAAGGATCGGAGGGTGACAGCTGAAATTTCGGATCTGCTGTTCCGTTGGAAAATATATGTCTGTGTGGCACAATTGAGTATTAAAAATGACACAAGTGGGTCAACGAGCGGTTGACGCATACTGTTATTCGGTAAAAGGAGAAACATATACTGTGAACAAACTCGAAATAATAAATATTGAAAAATGAAGTGCATAACTCTAAGACTGTCAGTTTCACTGAATTTGTGCATTTTTCTGTTCTCCTTTTTATTTATGTTGGAGAATACTTTTAACTGCTTGATGTAAACATTTTTTTTCTTTACCTTCTGCACACAAAAAGCTTTGTAGTGGTAAAAAAAACAAGAATTGAGATAATAATTTAAAAGTATGTTCATGTTACGACCAACATTTATAGGTACGTAACTGTCCGTGCCTAAGATATAAATAAGATATAAATATCTCAGGGTTTGTTCAACTAATTTAAACTACCTTCGCCTACGAAAATAATACTTTAATTTATAAGTTTTAATAAAAATTACTAATAATAATTGGATTCTGTTAACTACTTTTTGCTTTTATGTTTTATCTTTATAACAAGTCTAATGTAAATCAAGAAAGGCAATGGAATACAGTTTAACCATCATTATATATGTATCATTATTAATATTTACTGCTCATTATGTTAATCAGTACGGAAATTGTTTCGCTCCAATAGCATGTAAGATCATGCTCATCTTTACTTTAAAGTGAAAAGTTGTATTTGGTCGTCTAACAATTTTAGTTGACTGTCTTTTTCTCACAAAAAAAACAATATCTGTTCTGGCGTATGAACGGATAAAACTCATCATGAAAGCTGTAAACATAAAAATAACTGAACAATGAATATAACAAAAAAATTAAGTAACAGTGTTCAAAAATTACATTATTTAAGACACACATAATAAAAGGCTAGGTAACTTATAATGCCTCGAGTAACGTCAATCCTTTCAAATGAAGTCTTTCATACCAGTAAAACAGTTTTTAACATTATTTTTAATTAAGAAAAATCCAATATGTACTTTTTTCAAACAAAAAAGTGTTCGTTCGAGATATAAATATTACAACATTATAAATATTACAGTTTGATTATAGTTTGAACAGTAAATAAATTGTTTTCATTATTTTTTCTACAATTGAAGTATTAAGATTGCCATATTAGCATGTAAAAAGACTTTCAAAATAATGTACAATTTGTTTGTACTTAAATATGTTATGTTCAGCAGTTATAAATCAAAAATTTTTAATGATTCAGACAGGTCCAAATTTCAGAGACATTCATAAATGACTATTAATAATTTGTGTTGAGATATAATTTTTGCAACTTTACGAAAATTTAAACTTAATGATTCTTTTTTTGGTCGAACGATATGAAATAATTTCAAAGCAATCGAAAATTCACTTATCGAGTAAATCATAATCAATATTTTTTACATTAAATTCACCGTCTATTCATAATATTTTTCAATACCGGGTCAGATAAAAATTTAGTTAGAAATACATTATGAAACTGGAAAAATTTACAGTGAAAATTTTAATAGCCATAAGGAAAGGGGCACCCAAAAAATTTATTACCAACAAAGTTTTTAAAGAAACGCCCTCAACATCCGACAAGCAGCTTTAACTTTTTTCACCAGAGATTTTCTCTGGTATCCCAGGGGGAAAAACGATATGAAAATACGCGTGTACCGTACTGTAAGCAGGCATATAATACAGGAAAAGAGATAAGAATGAGCGCGAGAACTATCGATTGAATACTACATAATGTCGAGAACATGCACTTGGGAGCCATCTGGCACGAGCGCGTTAGGCACTTTGACTTGCTAAACGGGTTAATTTGAATGGCGTACAACTCGACTTACTATGAGATCTTTTCATTTTCCTGAGCCATAGTTCTCTTTCACAATTTTTTTTTCCACTCTCTGTCTATCCCTTTATTCTGTGAGCGAACGGTTAATCGAACGGTACGAATAGTTTGTTTTTCATCACAAAAGTGTACTTTGACAGTCGCTCGAAAAAATAAACTTTGTCACAACTGTACTCGCAGAGCTCTTTCTCCATTAATCTCTACCGTTAAAAAGTTGAGCAGTCAATGAATGAATGTGTTTTTATATTTCCTCGTCGTTTAAACTTTTACCTTCCAAAAAATTCGCAAATTTTTACCAACCGTGAATAAACGACGGCACAAAAAAGTACCTCCAAACAAATTACATCAGAGATTTTCTGAAAGCGCGGATCATCCCGTGTAACCCATATTTCTTTTTTTCCCATCAAAACAAGCAACCCATGATCCGGACAGAAATACCTGTTCTATATACACTCTCTCATACCACCTCCCTCGGGAGAACATCCATCTCTTCTTCCCAGTTCTAGTTATTCCCACAACCACAGCGCTCCCATGCCCATCGTGCGCAGACACCCATAAAGACACAACACCCCATCCACACACTTGAAACGCCGAGTGGCTAATTCTTGGCAGCATTGAACGTTCCTCATGTCTATCCAACACCATATCAGCAGCAGCCCCGCGTATTTCCCTACATCGCCTAATTGGAAGAACGTTATTTGCGCCTAGCTTGATATGCTTTCCTTCTCGTACTTCTCCAACTGAAGTATAGACACGTATACACACATATACGTGGAGCAAAGAAGAGGAGGAGCCGGTGGGTGGAAAGTGCGCGCGTCCTGCCATCTTAATTGCCTATTTATTCGCGCGTGCACGAGTTGGACGGAGAAAGAGCAAGAGAGAGAGAGAGAGATAGCTAGCGAGTTCGTCGAGTAATTTGCGCCCACGCCCGTTAAATGGGAATTGCTGCGACAGCAGTGCGACTTGTACGCAAAGCTTGATGGGGGGCGCGGAAAGCACCGGCGATGAAAGAGGCTTATATCGCAACGAAGGGGGTAGGGGGGTCGAATAATTGCTAAAGACTCGTTTAACATCTGTAGGCACTGCGTGTTATGTTGTCATGCGTGCGTGTATTACGCACATACAGATACAGAGTAAGGGGAAACAAGGTCTGGGGGTGAGGTTTTTCTTCTTTATTTTAGAACCGGGATTTCGTATCATGCTTCTTTTTCCATTTACTTTAATTAGACCGACCAGATTGCTCGCCACGTGGATGCACAGGCGGGGGAGAAAGAGACGGAACAGTACACATCAACACGGGCCGTTGCGGAGCTTGAAGAAATCTGGAAAGAGCAATGATATCATAGTTTCATGGTGATGAGATTTTTTTTCGTTTTTCTCCTCTACTTGTGTACTACGATGTTTTCGGGGATCGTACGCTTCAAAACAGCAAATGTGAAGTTAAAGATAAAAAATATTCCGTACGTCGGTTCGATGGCAAAACTCAAATGCGCAATGAGGGCGGGGAGAGGAGAGTGAACGTGAAGCGACTTACTCTCTCGGTAGGCGCCGATGAAGGTCAAAACTTTCTCGCCTATCAAGCCCATCCTCGAACTGTACTTGGTGCACCTGTTGTAGCACATCATGTGACAAACGCTGGGAAAGCTGCGATCCACCAAGTCCCGATTTCTCGCGCAAATCGTACGATTTCCATCTTCATCGGTATCCTCCAGTAGAAGTCTGTTGTTGCCCAGTGCCTCGGAACCGCTAGCATTTTTCTTCAGACCAATTACTTTGCTCTCCAGACAGTGGTCGTCACAATCGCAGTGGCTGAATTCATCATCCGTCGTTGTCGTGGTTGTTATTGTCGTTGTTACCGTTGTAGGTGATGGCGTCGTCTTCGGGGTAGGGTCTGACACTGCAGTGACGGCAAAAACAGCAGCGAACACTGTGAAGGACAGCGTGCCATAAAGAACTCTAATCCTGACTGAGGGTGGAAACACCTGAGACGTTCTTCGTTTTACGCGTTTTCGTGAAGAGAGTTTGCACTGGTGAAAGTGCGAAGCACGAGATGCGGGCATAAGTGGGAGTAGAGTAAGCTTTTTTTTTAGAATGTGAGCTTTTTTTAGTGATCAATGGTTTTTGTAGTATTTAGTTTTAAGCAGTTAAATGATATAATTAGTTGTAAAGAAATTTAATTTATGATATAGAAACCGTTACTGACAATAAGTTAATCAGTGGATGTCGGATTTTTAATTGCCTGGGAATAGGTTGCTCTGCACACGTATTCGATACTCTAACCAAATAAAATATTGAATCGATTCTATAATTAGTTGGAGTAATGATGAAGGTTACAGGAATAACTTGGTATTAAAATAACTATAGTTAACTCTTACCGAAAAAAAGGCCAATTATCATTGCTAAAGTATGAATATTTAACTTGATGCTATCAAAATACTGAAATAATTCAACTGACGGGTATGAAGTGATGATGCACTCTGAATTGGACGTGTAACCTTCGGTGCCACTACAGCTGTACATACGTAATCATCACACCCACTTATTATCGGCAGCTTATCAACAGACTCTATCAACTATTGCAAATTTAATAACAATATTGAACGTATAATTTTCCAACGGATATCAACAATGACATTGCATTACCAGTGGGAAAACATAATGAAACTGTTGCAAATAAAACTATTAACATTAAAAAAACTCTTGTTTTAATTTCATTGTAAATCTTATCTCGTACAACAATCTACCAAAACGATTTTCCAACAATTTAATTGAGCTAAATATAATGCTTATGAAATCTAACTATATAATTTTCTATTTTATTTCTCCATAAAATTTACTAAACATTTTATGGTTCAATTATGATTAAGGGAGTTCACTCGTACCTAACATTTTTGACGCATGAGATCAGCAGTATTGTAACCTGCATGACTACATATCGACGCCTCGTAGGAAGACCAGCACATTTCAGATTTTCTTATTTAAAATAACATTGAAAAATCTGAACTCATAGTACTTTGCACAAACGAGCATTAAGAGAACGAGAAAACGAAATCAATTTTTAATTACGCAAAAATTCAAGAGATCGCGTGTAGATTTTTTAACATAATCTTATCCTGAAGAAAAATATTTGTTACAGCCACATAATGATACAAATATATAATATATTAATATACAAAAGCTATTTTTGAATACGCGACTGATTATGGAATACAAAATTATTATACCTTATGCACTGTAGGAAAGATGAATCGGTACAAACAAGAATGGGAAAAAATGTCGATAAGTGGAATTACTAGTAATTTTTGTACGTCTTGGCACATGTCTATCAGTGCCATACAAATACCAGTAGAACTGGCGAAGCAAAGTCCAAGGATTATTTGTGCTGTTTGAGCTGATTGGATGCATCACAGGTGAAAATACTGATACTAAAAAACAGTATTCACCACTGAGAAATGCATATCAGTGCAAAAAAGTTCACTAATGTTAATTCCATTGACATGCAAGCAAGCAAAAAGGATTATTGATACTGGCTGCTTGCTGAATTAATATTATTAACCTATTATTGATATTCCGGACTAGAAAGTGCACTGGCATACATGGTTTTGACCACTTAACTTTTGGGAGTCTCACGTTAATTCATTATTATCTACGACTAAAAAACTAAGTTTACGAAGCTTAGTGTTTATTTAATTGATTATCTTGTACATTAAATATTAAGGTTACCGAGTTTAGGACATTTGAATGGCACGCCAACTGCTCTACGAATGAGCGCTTTTTTGTCGCCTCCCGCTATAAGGGGGAAGTTCGTTTGGTGTCTCCAGTAACTGCCCAGCAAGTTGGAGATCACGTGATTTTGCTGGAAAAATATCCCAGTAAACAGGTCATATGATCTCCAATTTACTGGACAAAGTTACTGGAGACATCAATCGAACATCCCCACGACCGACGTATGAATCAGTTCACTGCACCACCCACAAGTACAGGGGTTACGCTTTTTCTTATTGTATAAGCTGCTTTATTGTAAATACTAGTCTATTTTACATTTTCTACATTTGTTTTCTCGTTATCACACAAGTGTTCAGTATAGCAGAACTAACAAAATAGTTGGTGCATAGATTTGGTTGTTTCTAAAATTCTTATCTACACAACTGCAATGCATTTTATGAAAAAAAAAAAAAAAATTTAACTGTAAAACCTTTAAACGTATGTTGTATCACACTTGGATTTACAGTTTTTTTTATTACCAAAAAAAAAACTTCAACAAATATTACATTCGCACACAGTGGGGATGAGATAAGAAGAAAAAAGTGGTATTTTATTGGTTTAAATAACGATGTCTAAAATTGAGATCGACTTAGCCTGCAGCCTCAATTCCGTCATTGATTGTGAGTATCTTTCGGGCTAAAAAAACTAGAGCAGCCGAACATGCGATAATGGAGTCAGACAGATATAGAGAGGGCACGCACTTGCGCTCAGAGATAGCGAGGAATACATTCGAACACATAGACACATATACACATTCTGTCTCTTGTTCGTCGAAACGATCGATCCAAGGGAGGCATCCCAATATAATGGGAGAAGAGGAGAGCTAGAGCTAGAATGAACAAAAAAAATCGAATGGCGAGATCGAGCAAACTTTTCCGTGAGCGCAATTTAGGCCGTAGCTGTAGCTCCTGTCTCTCTCTCTCTCTCTCTCTCTCTCTCTCTCTCTTGCTCACGCTTTTGACTCCATTATATTGTGCACATGTACGTACAGCAGCAGCAGCGTGAAGGGAGCAGCAGCACCCATGTAATATCTACCTATCTGCGTGTACGTGTACACCCTTGTAGCCCAGTTCCACTCGAAAACGAAAGATTGTCAATCAGCGCTAGTCATCTAAGCTTAATTAGTGTTTGTACGTGTGCGCAATTTCATGCCTATGTGGAGCAACATTCTCCAAGGCCGTTTTTTTGTCGAAAATCGTCGATGGGTCGGTGCTTTGGACTTCTTTCTTTTACTCTTTTCTCTTTCCATCTATGCTGGACAATGTAACAAGGAGAGTGCGGGACTATTACCCGTAGCTTCGATTTGTACTTTCAAAGCGATGCAACCGAGAAATTGAAAAATGTATTACATTGGGCGCATGAATTGTTCTGGCATTTTAATTTTTCTTTGCTATCATGTTTTTCAAATTCTGTTTCAATCGTATTTTATTTCTTTATGCTGATTCACATAAAGGACGAAAATTTTAAAAAGTGCATGATATTTTTCATACTATTTTTTCATCTATCATACTGCTGTTTTTATTTACGATATAATCGAAACGCGTTGAGAGATGAAATACGCTTACGCGAATAGTAATATGCCATGGTGTTTCCACCAACTGATAATACATGATACACTCCATTCACCGCAGGTACAATAAACAATTAACGAATTTGTGGCTACTAAGTTAAGAAATAACCTTCTTTAATAGATGTTTCAATTAACATTCAAAAGATAATGTGCAAGTTGCATATAAGGTCATTTTGTACGGTGCTAGTAAAGCTATTTATCTACATCTAGTATCAGCCACATGTAGTTGTAGGCAAATGAGATACAATATCTCGGTCGCACTCGCTTATTGATGATGGAGGCATCACAATTCGAAAACATTTATCAAAGCAAGCCTCCTGCAACTGCTGTGTGTCAATGTTCATTGCTCCATATCGTGTCAATGCTCACGTACATTACACACTGTTTCGTCCTATCTTTCGCACTACTAGCAAACTTCCTTTCAAACGCTGAAAGCAAAACCTGATTCCGATTCGTTTTTTCAGTGCAAGGGTACACAAAGTTTCTGCAAAAGCCTTGAAATCGTCATCTCTTTTCCTGACTTTTTAATAACAATTTTAATAATTATAATAATTTAAGGTTACCGAGTTTAGGACATTTGAATGGCACGCCAACTGCTCTACGAATGAGCGCTTTTTTGTCGCCTCCCGCTATAAGGGGGCCTGCCATCTTAATTGCCTATTTATTCGCGCGTGCACGAGTTGGACGGAGAAAGAGCAAGAGAGAGAGAGAGAGATAGCTAGCGAGTTCGTCGAGTAATTTGCGCCCACGCCCGTTAAATGNCTCTCTCTCTCTCTCTCTCTCTCTCTCTCTCTCTCCATCTCTATCTCCTCCTCGTCGAACCCGTCGTATGTTCTTATGTAAACGACGACAACAACTGAGCGAGCCTCGTAATAATATATTGCCTTCGCGGTAAAACCGAGGGTAAAACAGTGAATATCAGCCATCTGTTTTATACGTTTAAGCTTCGTACAATGTGATATCCAGGAATATCGATATCACTGTTTTATAATTATTAACACACACACACCAAAAATATTGAATTCATTTCATCTTCCCAATAAACGTTTATTTCTACTTGAAAAATAAAAAATTAATTGTATAAATTAAAGATTATAAAAGTAAATGAAAAACAAAAAAGTATGACAACCGCTAGAAGCTCACAATTTTCGAAAAAAAAGGGCGCCAATTCGGTTGACATTTTCTTGTTTGTGTACGTATTTAACGGTGTATGCAAGTATGTATGTATATGTTTATGCAAATAAAACATGAGATACTATATGAATGGTCCAGAAACGTAATGATGATCCTGTTGTGGTATTCCATATTCCATATTCCATAATAGTATAAAAATGTTTGAAAATAAATTTAAGAAAAAATTATTTATTTATAGTTACTCTCATGTTAACTTTTTTTAACAATTGAAAGAATTCATTAATAATAATAATAATAATAATAATAATAAAAACAAATTAACAATAAATATAATAACAACGGGTACGGACAATAATTCAGTTTAAACTTTCTGCTCATTCTATTTTACTTGACAATAAGAAAAATAAGAAACAGAATAAGTTTAATGACAAGAGTAGAATAGATGTTTATGCAGCAGCAAATTAAAAAAAAAAACAAGCTCAAAATACAATACAGTTGCATTTTTTATCATGTCTTATTACCACGATCCATTCGGAGACGCGCTCCAACCTCATCGGTCGGTTATTATGACACTGGTCTCCGTACCTCATGTCTAGACGATCCGATTGCGCAATAATAACAAGCTCGAGCATCACGTACAGTGGAGGTCGTTTAATTCGTTGAGCGGGAAATTCAAACATTTAATTCCCATTGGCTGATTCGATCACATAACCTCTTTCATTGGTCAATTTTATACTTCCTGCTCAACGAATTAAACGGCCTCCACTGTACACGGGGGTATGGGGCTTTTTTCATCGTTTTAAAGCTTCCACTGCTAGAATGTATTTTTCTCTCATTCAGCATCAGGAATTACAGCTCTTCTTCTTTCTGTTCAACCTAGCTAAAGCATCTTTGTTCAAGTTGTTACTAGTTACCTACCCAGTTAGTTAGGTAGTTAGCTAGTTAGTAGTGCGCCAATTATCTGCAAGTGATATCCATTGCACCGTATGTATTCTAATGAAAACGTTTCTGCGCACGT